GGAGGGAGGGAGGACCCGGGGTTTGTCTAGCTCATCGATCTTCATCAATTCTTCTGCTTCTCTCTAAAGAATGATGATGACCCTTGAGGCATTCAAAATCTATTGATTAATGTATAGTAGGACGGTAGGACCCCATTCTGCTACTCATTCATAAACTGTCCTTCTATCTGGATTCTGGATCATATCTCTGGGACCACATCCATGCAGTACATTCACTTATAAGACTCGACTCGATCATCTATTCATCTGACCAGATCCATGTCCTACACCTAGCTAGCTACAAACATATCATGTAACTGCTGTTTGAAATCTAATGCAATAATCGAATACATATATACAACTAGCTTAGCTACCATTTATTTCATGATCATAATTTAAATTAAGAAAAATGTCTTCATATATATACATTTACATACCCCTACCCGGCCTGGTATGTTTCACAAATCACAACCATAATGTAATAATTCTCAGTGCATGAGAATGAGAAGTAATTAAGAAGATGAGCTATCTTTGTCTTGTGAACTGGTGATAGAGTTGTAATAAAACTGTAAGAAGATGGATGACTTTTAGAGCAATACCTACCTGCAGGCTGAAGCTGTAGTACAGCCGCCTATTTTAAGGGGAGAAATGAAGAAAAGTAGGACCCACACCAAAGTTATTAGTGCACGTTCGGCTGCAGAGTGTGTGAGTCCCACTTTAATAATCTCAGAAATCTAGACTACTGCTCCATTCCCACGTTATATTTCTGACACAATCAAACACCAAGTATGTGTTACGTTTCTCAGTCAAACCAACATCTATTGACCCAATTACTCTTCTTTCTGCTAATCCTAGTTTAAATCAATAAACTACAACACGTACTACTGTTCTTAACGTACAGTTTAAGTGAGCAAGTAGCTAGCTAGTAGTTCAATACTTAAGTTGAAAAAATTCATTCAAACTCAATCTCATCGTAGTAGATGATCAATATGTGGTAATGTGTATTTCTGATTCTTTTTTTCAACTTCTGTCTTCTCATCATGTACATCATGTACATCAGTACATGTACTGGCCTTAATTATATTAAAAATCAAATAGATCGAATTGAACCAAATCAGATGGATTCATGCATGTACGACTACGACCATTTACAAATTGTGTAAATTACCTACACTTGGATACTGTACGTGGATTTAGTTGAGATAATATGGCTTCAAAGCCTGAAATCATCTTCATTTCAGTTTCAACTATATATTATAAAATACAAATTAATTACCAATGACATTTCCATGATATTTGATGGCCATATTGGCCTATATAAGAATAAAAATTTCTGTGCTTTTCTCTATAATCAAATAACTCCAAATGAAAATGAAATGCTTTGTATCTGGTAAAGAGATGGAGTGATAATAGTGTTTATATTTAATTAACTATTGAGTGAGACAACATATATAGATTAATTAAGAATGAAAAGCAGATCATTTTTAACAAACTATGTCTTATTGTTTGAATTGTACAAAAATGAAATAGTGTTGATACTTAATGGACACTACCACATAATTTATTACTTTTTTTTTTTATGTACGAACTCTTTCTGTACATACTCAAATCTCAGCCAGTTGTTTGAAACTTGTTTAATTGTAGTTTAGATTTTGGTCAAACATAACATCATTTAGCAAGTTTTTCAATGATTAGTTTTTATACCACCGAAATGGGTGAAGGAGATTTGTTCGCACCTTTAATATAAATAATGAACGATTTATTTACAGTATAAAGCATTTCACTTCTCAAGATATATATACAAAAGATGAAAAGAAAAACATCTGCTGATATTGTTAGTCATGTGGAAAGATAGAGAAAAGCGTGGCATATGCTTAAGCAAGCACATTGCACACCCCTACCCACCCAACTTCACTTTCATTGAGATCGCAGTTGAAATTAGCACCTTGACTTTATATACCTTGGTCCTTGAGATGTGGTGAAAGCTAGGTAATTGGTTCCCTCTTGCACCCACACTAAGGACACATTTGTGTACCCAAAAGCCTTAACAAACTCTTCATGCCTCCTTCTACAGTTCTACAATAAACTAAAGAAACAAAGGTCACAAACAGATATAACTTTTACTAATCTTTAACCCCACATATCTTCACTAATAATTAAATACTCATTTTATTCAT